ATTTACAAACGAAAGGCTAATAGTTTCAAATAAAACAAGTGTTAGCTCGCAAGACCGTAGATGCAAAGCACGTTTGCTCTGGCAATTCCCAGAAGTAGAATTGAGAGTGTTAAAAATAGCCTTAAAATCGATTATTACTTCTTCCTGACACAATGTTGGCTTTTCTTGGAGCTCAAGTTCTGTAAAAGTGTAAGAGCAGTAAACACTAATACCAAAACCGTCGAGCATGCATATCGAGTGTAGCGCACCTACTTCTTGAAGAACTCGTGAGACAACGTGCAAATTGCATATTTTCTCCAGAGGTGGACATTCAAAACTCCAGGGGGAGGACGAATAGAAGAATTCATGACTGAAAGGAAGAATATCTTTGCTTAAGCTACACAATCAGAATCGTTTGTAAGAACGCACTCAGGAAGTTTTCCTTCCTCAATTTCCATCATTTGTTAAGAACATTTCGGTTATCATGGATTAATGGAACATGTTAAATCATTTCGCAAATCATGGATTAATTGTATTCCTAGCAAGAATATATTAAACCGCTTGGAACCAGTTCCCTCTGTAGAGGGGTTTTCCCCCTCGTTCAAAAGAATCCACCGATCCTCCCCACCCCTCACTCGTCACAAGGCGAACGACTGAAAACGCGTCTCTTTTGAAATATTCTTCATTTAGTAAGTTAAATGTATTATTAGACCATGCCTCGGAATAAAATGTAGACAATTATAGACGCCGTACGTTTCTTACAGCAAATATTACATTTTCCCTGGAAGAGAAAGAAAAATTCAATCACGTCGTGGTCTTCGCCGGTACAACTGCCTTCGACGCGGCGTCTCCCAAACTGCCGAGAGCCTTCACATGATCGGCAGAGGACGCCTACGATTCATAGTTGTGTACTGATCGCCACATTAAAAATGCTAAATAATTATTTAATTACTTTCTTTCGATTGCGCTGCAGGCCAGCTTACGCCTTGCTCTAACCGCCCTTTCGAGGTGGAGGGAAATGGACCACATGGGGACGGAAGTCAACCAACACCAGGCGATAACGGAAAAAGTGAGGACACGTTGCAGAAAAAGAATCGTGCGTGGTCCATGACCCGTTGTTTAAGGATATGCTCTGGCATTCGCTGGAATAAGGAGGGGGAAACTACAGAAACAATTGATCAAACCTGCCTTTGGAATTTTCATCCACAAGCTGGCAGGTCTCGACTCAATTATTTAGATGGCGTCGCATATTTACCGTCAGGCTTTGAAGCCAAGGCATTCTGGTCTTCAATTGCAAACTTGCAACCGTACGAGTACACTGTTGCACTCGATAATAAAACAATTAGATACACGTTTTATCTACCAGCATAAGTTAGACTATCCTAGGTGGACAACACTATACAACCTAGGCAAAATGTCATGTGATTTTTAATTCGGTATACGCCACTGAAAAGAAACATTAATTTGCATTTTATAGCATTCTTGAAACCAATAATACAGGACGTACATAATGAAATAGTACGAAACAGAACGGGGGAGAGTAAATTTTAATGAGTGGTCACAAAGCGATGAGGAAGAAGTGTTTAAAAATAGCTTTTGCGATCGCATTGTTTCATTGTCCCTTTCCAAGAATGAAATTGTAAATCTCGTATGTTGAAATACATTAGAGCTCCAAATTTACTACATCCCTAAATTTTCTAACCACGCCCATTTAAAAATTCCTACCTAAAACACTCATCATCAAATCATTTGTACTAATGAAGTACAAATATAATGCATCGACATTCATGAAATTATGGATGTGTAAAATACGATTAGGCCGAAAACATGAAATAAAAATTCTTATTTTTGGGGAACACGATGGGTGATGCCCCAAGTTATAAAATTGTCTAGAATAATATAAGTTGGCATCCGACAAACCCTCTAAGGTACTGGTCAAATGGCACGTGTCCCTGATGTACTACTTTGAAAACTAGTAACAATAAAACAATTAAGTTAATATACTTGAATACACAAACTAAGAACAAATATACTCCAAATTTCGGACTAACAAGTAAAGCCCTTTATCCAATAAATATTGATTGGGCTACATTTTTTTGAAAAACACGTCTAGAACTTAAGCACTAGCTGCAGCCAGTTCTATTTTTGCCGAAGGGTGCGAATTGCCAGGGAGATTTCGGTGATCGTCCGTCTCTGGGGAGTCTGGCAGGCAGTCTCCTCAATAATTGATTTCTTCTTGGTATGGATTGGATACAATTAATCCACTTTGGGTATCTCGTTTATCATTTCCACGCTTTGAAATATTGAAATCATTGATTCCAAATTGCGAAAATCGAACAAGATAACGCTGTCGAGTGCATTTTTAGAATTAATTCATACTGTGCTGCATAAGATTACTGGGGGATCCAGCCCCCCCCCCCCTGGATCCCCCGGGTCATGGTCCTCATCAAAAAGGCCTAAAGTTTTTCGTTTATCTTCCTTTATTGGGCAAAATTGTTTTAGTATTAATGTTCAAAATATTTAAAAAAATAATATAATAATCATACATACAGTCGATAATTAATATTCAATATAATAACAAATGTTAAATATTTAACAAAAATGTACATACACACCCTCCCAAAAAAAGAAGCTGAATGGATCGCCACTGCATAAGATATTTCTTGTTTCACTAGTCAGTTTTTCTATTCGACCCCTCTTGGAATTTAAACGGCTCCCCTCCGGAGAAATCTGCCGATTCACACACTATTTGCATGTTATGGCATAGGGAGCGTGACGAGCTACCGCTTGTCACTAGTTGGCACTGCATCGAATGTCCGCCAGATGGCAGCACAGGACGGGAGCGCCTCCCCTTTCCCCCGCTTTAGCATGACGAGCGCGCCGCAGACGGGGGCAACGGAACACGTCCGTTGAACCGGCTTATGCCTCCTTGGGGCGGGTCTTTTTATACCCATTTCTTTAATGCAAAAATCCTATTGACCGAGTACCAAGTGATTTTCATTTTACAAAGAAAGAATAAATAGATACTGTTATCAATTCGTGAAAAATATTAAAGATCCCTGCTGTTAGCAATAATCGATAGAAAACCGTAAAAATTCTATTTAGAATAACCGGAAAATCAACTCCCCCCCCCACCCATTTTCACACTTGCACGCTTGTTTACTGAAGCCCTCAAAACATGAAGATAGGAAGTTTTCATCTCGACTGCAAACCAGATAAAATTTACATCTTCATAATTACTCTTAAACACATATAATTATTATGGTGGAGTAAATTATTTGAAACATGGGTATTCACATTTTTTTTTTTTTTTTGCTGTCCAGTTGCACGATTATCAATTATTCCTCCCTCCGGCATTGGCATTATCGACGCGTGCTGTAACGGATGGGTAACAACCTCCTCCCCTCGCTCCTCTCCCGCCGTGCGTTGCTTCTCAGCTCGCCCACCCGGATCGCGCCGCGGGGGCAGGCTGTATTGACCCACCGCCTTCGCCTTCTGAGAAGCACTCGGGCAACAAAGAACAATGCGTGCGCACGCACCTTCCCCCATGATGATAATTCGCAACATTATACCGGAAGACGGAGCAACCTAACCATTAAAACTTAACAAACGAAATCGGGACTCAAGAAAACACTACCCTCGATATTATATCCGCACGTTTTTTGAGCCCCGTCATATCTACCCCCACTCCTTTCCCTACTTTAGTTGCATTAAGAATAAATGATAGTAATGAGAGTTGTAGACAAAATCTGGTGACGAGGTATGTTCGCTCCCGTGTATTAAAACAATTTTGCATGGAAAAATGAACTACAAATTCGACGTAAAATTCCGTTTGTGAAAATAACCAATCTCCCTACTCTCGCAGCTAGCGAAGCGAGGGCTCAAGAAAACATGTGCGGAGAAACAATATCCCAATGAAATGACTCCATTTACGCCTACCCCCCAGAGTTTTAAACCCGCAGAAGGATTGGAACCGACAATTCTTACACAACTGCTATGTACTACGAAGTACAATAATTACTATAGTATAAAAGGAGAATCGACAATTTCATCGTTCATAGGCGTGGGTGAAAATGTATTTGTAGGCACTTTTATTCATCATTCAACTACGTACAGGAAAAAGGGTGGGATAGGAAATCTGGAGCTCAAGAAACACGCGCAGATTATATTTCTTCGCCACATCCAATTTTAACTGTTTTTGGAAGAACAGATATAAAATATTCACAAGATGGCTAATGTTAAAATTTTTTTGAGATTTTCGATATTTCTATTGAATGTGTACAAACAATAACATTCAACTATTTTTATAATTTCTTTTATGATATAAAATCATTTTTTAAAAATAATACTTTATGAAGAGTCTCTTTTTCTTAAATGCTCAAAAATAATTCCCTATTCGACGATTCTTATGCCTTAAAATATCTGGGAAATTGCTTTTCTGATCTAGAAATTCTGACTTATGCACTTAACTATGCAATTAAAATTAACATTTCATTTCCTGTATAAACCATTCTTGAAAAAATTCAGAAGCATGCTTGGAATGAAAGGTTATACTATTTTTACGCAAACATAATATAACTTAAGCTTACTTTTCAGGAGAAATAATTGCAGTAACTATCTTTTTTTCTGACTGCTTTAAAAATATATCAAGAAATATCCTACGTTTGCACAAGTATTTTATCATCTATAAAAAAGAAAGAAAAAGACCCTCAAACTGTGGCAAGCACTTTCTAATCAGTGAACACTCGCAACAAAAAAGATACTATGAAAACATGAAACATTTTAGAGATAAGTCTCTATTTTAACAAAATATGCACCTATAACTATATGATAATGAACCAACAGGAAAAATTGGCCAAATATGCACAAACACATTAAACTACATAGCATCTGATTCTAACAATCTCAAGAAATTCCACTTGGCTATGTCCTGAAGCAATGGACAAAAATATGTAAAATCACAGAAATCCACTCTTTAATGATTATGACCATAAAGCAAATCCTAATAAATTCTTATTGTTTCAGACTCCATTGTCAACACATCTATGGCTAGTTGATTTAATGAACATTCCAATTTAATCATGAAGTTCCCAACTCTTTTGATTTATGCTGCACTTTTGCTGCTCATTCTTCTAACAGTAAGTGAATACGTTCAATATCCACACAACAATTTATTAAATCACATATAGCTCATGCCTCTATTTTCTTACTTGCAGGTGAGTTGTGAATGTAAACAGAAGAAGGGCAAGAAATCAGAGAAACAAGTACAATCAAGAGAAACGAATATCTTCAACTTCCTAAGGATATTGTTCTTGCGACTGGTGTATGGCATTGCAACGTCACTGGGTTTCGGAGAATCAATTTCCAACTTCTGGGGAGGTGCTTTTGTTCCTCCAGGAGTGCAAGATGATTATGATGACTATGGTTTTGATGATGATTTCTAATATAAAGGACAATCTGTTACTCTCAACTACCATCAAGTATTATATAAAGCCCAGTGAAAGACTGTGAAGCATGTATATAATTGTTTTATATTTATTGTGAATAGATGTGTATATAAATTAACTCATCACCAAAATATTAATGTAAATAGAAAGATTAAGGAGGAAAGGAACTGAAGTATGATCTATTGGGAGAGAAATAAGGATAAAGCCAGAGAAGAAGTATACAATCAGTTATTTATATACAATATATTCTATAAGTATATAGAAAAAATATTATCCCATTTTCTACAATTTGCACATATTTTAGTCAACAATGATACATTGTAGGAACATTTAAGAAGTAATACAATCTTGGATTGAAATAAACAATATCTCTGCTCAATTAACACTACTGCTAAATAAATTACATATTTTTAAAGAATCCAATACATTAATTATTACACAATATGCAAATTTAACATTAGAAATACATTAATACCAACTCATTTCTAGAGCAGATATGTCAGAAATGTACATCAGATGATTTGTGTGTCATTAACTGCCTCACAAGTTAACTGTACACAATTTTGTTTGACCAATTTATGCTCACACAATGACACTATTTAATTACTAATATCTTTTTTGAGAAATATTACAAAAGAAAATTATTACTAATATTAAGAATGTTCTTATGTCTTAATAGTATACTAATTTCTTCTGAGCAAAATACAGTATTTAATTAATTTACAATAAAAATATTTCCTAAACTTTTTTGTAAAGTTCAAATTGTTATGAAATATCCAGGTTTAAATATGGACTTGTATTATTTTAATACAATTATCAAAAATTGTATGAATTTACTACAGTATTATCACAACCAAAAAATATTATGAATAAATAATCAAGTTGCAAAGAATTTATATAAACCTTTAAAAACAAAATATAACAATATGTAAATACAGCCCCTACTAGTTGCAATTCATTCCCGATGAAGGAGTTTACCAAATATAATTTACTGGCTTAATATATTCAATAAAATTTAATCTGGCATGAAAAGTATGTTCCCTTGCTAACTTTTCTTAAGCGTAAGTCATGAAATGTCACTAACAATTATACAGCACAGTTAAACAAATCAACCTGTGGAAAAATGATTAAGAAAAGCACTGAACACAGAGAAGAGAATCCCAAAGGTCAGTTATCATGAGAGGAAAATGGATAAGATCTTGTTAAGTTTTCTGTGGAAATTTATAGTACTCATAAGTTTCAATTATCACAATGAACGAAGTTAAATGTATCTTTCTATTAACTTTTAACACAAAATAAATTATTAGATTCTGAAAGTTTCTGTCAAATAATTGTAGAAATATAGTAATTATGAAAGAAGGAGGGTTCACCTGAGACAGTATTTATTCAAATACAGTAATAAATTCCTTATTTGTTAATAATTTGGAACACACTAACTAAATGAAAAACAAAATGCACATACTGCCAATTTGGTTTAAAGGACAAAATATTGAAGTGTCAGCAAATGAAATTTGAGAACAAAAAGCTAAAAACTTTTAAGTTGCAAAATATAATCCTTTACTTCCAGAAAGCAAAATATACATCATACTTCCACATAGATAATACATTTATAAAAACAATGATACAACAGTATAGTCACTATCAGTTAACTACAATTTCTAAAGAAGATGCATAAAAAAGTCCTTCTTTACAATTCCTTAAAAATTATATAAACTGTCATCTTGATAAAGCCATAAACAATTCGGAATGAAGAACATCCACCAACGATCTGTTCAAGAACATTGCAAGACATGTCATCATATGGAAACCATAACAGAATAAAAATAGAATTACTTAAAAGTTTGGAAGATATCATATACCACAAAATTACTATCACATGGACTAGCAATTTTTAGTTTTTGGTGTTTTCTTAATCAAATAAAGATAAAATAAAATTCAAAACAAGAAATTTAGTCAATTACAAATCACATCTAAAATTCCAAAAATTACATTACTCTGATTCTTCAGAAGCACTATTGTTTAAGTCCCTGTAACAACCATTTTTCTTACGAACTAAATCACCCCATAAAACATCAATTTTACACGCAGGGCACTGTCCGTCCACAGGCACAACTTCATTTTCAGGCACAAACAAGTTAGCTAAGCAGATAACATGCACCATTAACAAACACTTGGGATTAAGACATGTCATGCGTTGCTGCTTTGTGACAGTTTCTGAGCATAAAGAACAGAGAGACAAAGTTTCATCTAGTGCATCATTATTTTCTTCAGTCGTTTGTGTTGAAGGAATTTTTTTAGTTGCAACAGGTCCATAAACCACAGGCATATGCATTGGAGGACTGCGAGATGCCTAAATAAAAAGTTCAAATGGTAAGATTAGCAGCTTAACATAATAAAACTATGTTGTATAACATATGAAACCTACTGGACATACATACTGGAAATTCACGGGCATATTCCTGTTTCAGCCATCGAATTGTTAATGGTAAACGATGCCATGGTCCTACACACAACATCTCAGATAACACCCTAAGATTAAAATCGTATGTTTTTTCATTGGATTTCTTCTTCTGGACGTGACGTAAGCGTCGGGAGCGGTATGGGTGCTGCCATGCCCATTCGAACTAAATAACAATTTTGAAACAAATTAAACATCGTATTTTGATCATGCCAAAAAAGTAAAACAAAGTTACAACCTACCCGGAGGGCTGATATGTCATTGGGAAATCCATGAATAATTAGCACCATTTCCCTTTAATAAAAGAAGGCAACGGACAAAATTAAAAGATCTGTACAACGCAGAACAATCGCATGTAAAATAACACATGAACGATTAAACATCCAACACATTCATGCACATGCCGTGAACGCTCTCCATTGCGAGGTTAGGAATTCTTACCAAGGTCCACGGTTGCTTGTTCTCCAGGCCCCACCAGCGTGTTTGCCTTTGTTGTGTTGTTTTATTCTACGATTTGGGTCGACAGTGTATCCAATGTACGTTCTTCCTTTGTATTTCGGATTTGTGCAATATAGTAAATACACACCGTAGAATTTTTCTATGACATTTTCTCGAGACATGATCCATAACTGATTTTCGAGATATTAACACATTTTATAAGACACAAAGAGCAAAATGCACTTACAGAGCAAAACACAGCGCATACTCGCACTAACGGACACTAATTAGCACTTATCTTCGCACATCCTAACACATCCCGGTGAAGTTTGTTTACATTGCTCGACACGCTCGACATCTTGACACACTCCCTGACATTCTGGAAACAAATGAATGATTGTAGACTCTTTGAAACGGCTAATATAGCCTGTCTGTATTGTAATCCCCATTCAAAATGAAACAATTTTAGAATGGAAGAGGATTTCAAATGGAAATGATAGCAATAAAGGGATTCCAAATCCTATTTGACAAAGTAAAATAAACTTATCCAGAGTCATTTTGATTGTATCATATATGAAATATAATAAGCCAAAGAGGAAGCAACGGCCCGACTGACTTCGAAAATTTGAATGTGTTGATGTCCCTTAAAAAAATATTTTTTTTTTCAAAAATAATGTTATAGCCTTTCTATAAATAAGTTACAAAACAACTCTATATCAATTGGTATATTTTAGATATTACAGGAGCTGTAAAGTGTTTATACAATATATGTTACTTAAGGTACCTAAATCGAAAGATTTTTTGGTGTCAGTATATTATTTTGTATAGCGTAGTGTCATTGAAATTTCATAACCAACGCATTTTGATACCAAGTGGTCCGCGAAGGATCCAACGTGCAGCTTTCTTAAGCGCCTTACGACCCAACCGGACCCGACCTGGCCGTCCCACTCGCAATCTGATTCGCGCCTCACTCTCGCTGCGGCGCTCACATTTATGTTAAAATACGTACGTATATACTCTTTGGCGGCGCTCACATTTAAAACTTCCCAGTGGAGGCTCGTGAACAAATGGGTAAGCAAAGAGATTGCTGAATAGCGGCGGATTCCGGGATGGGAGCATTGGAGCCTTGCCCCACCTCGATCTACTTTTTAATGTAATTTTATTCCATTTATTGAAAACAATTGCCTCACTGAAATCATTACATTATTTCTATTAAGCACGCGCAGACGTGATTTCAAGATATTAAGATTCTAAAAATGTGTTCAGAGTTTGTGTTGCTCTGACAATAATGCAGGAATAGGATTCAAATTTTTTTTCAGCCGTTTAAGATTCACTGAATTACACATGTTAGCTTCTGACATTTCATTTTTTGTATAGCTTTTGATAATTTTTCAATGTCAAAATAACCATCCCTATTCCAAGAACTCTCCTTAATGGAGAACTCCCTAAGCCAAAGCTTAGCTTTACTACTTGTTCACTTCTTGTTAGAAAAATTCTTCACTACTTGTTAGAAATATTCAGTCATTCCACGAAGGACTTGTATTTTTCTTCTCAGCACGATACATATTAGTGTTCAACTTAAGAGTAAATCGATCATTGTCCAAAATTTGTCTCTTTTCTACGTCGTTAAGACGAGAAAACGGTGTACGTAGTGTTTCATCCACCGTAATACTATCATAAAATTATATTGAATAATTTTAAAAAAGCAACAATTATCCACAGCTTGATATAAAAAAAACTTCCTAAATAATATTCACTTCCTCTTCTTGTTAACTCGTCAATAAAACAGTACACCACGCGCTACGTAGGTTGCATGTGAGTGGTGAGTGGAAATCGGAGTCTTGGAGCAGTGAGAGGATTCGCTGGTCCACGCACAACGCGCTTGCGTCACATATGGACACTGTTCTATGCTCACTACAGGGCCTATTGTCGGAACACGGTGCGAAGCTAGGCGGCGCCCGGCCCTGCCTGTATGCCCTGAGAGGTGCAAGAAGGCCATGGGCGGAACCAGCCGATCATTTGGGGGGAGGGGGCCATCATAGATTTCTCTTAAATAATACACTTATTTATTATATTGAACATTGGTTTTCTAGTGTGTATATGTATTATGCTATGCAATGTTATTTAAATAATTGCAAGATTTTAACGCAAAGAAATATTTAAATCGATTTTGCCAAATAAAGGAAGGTGTCGAACGAAACCTTTACGCCTTTTGGCGGGAGGATCCGCCCCGTGGATCCGTCGCTGAAGCGGGCGCATGGCGCAGCGGCTGTGAGAACGCGTTTGAAAAGGAAATGTGGCTCATGCCATGATAATGAAATGTTCATTATACATCATACACCAGATGAATAATATAGGCACCATATTAAAATTGCGAGAGCCATTTATTTTTTATGAAATGTTTTAAACTAATATTCACTAGGGTAGGCAGTACCTATCTTGCCTATCCTAAGGAGCCGCCACTGTTATTTATTATTTAAAAAAAATTGCTTTAAACAAATGCAGTTCGAGATAATAACGTGAATTTTAATTTATCTAGATTAAATATTTCCTTAAATGTGCGGTCAACATTTTCTTCTTTCAAATATTTTATAATATTTTGTGGGCATTTGTCTTAAAATGCTGCAATTACATTACAAACAATCAGTTAATTTCTCTGTTCTCACCCTCACTTTGTAAAAAGCGAAAGTATTATGATCATGTGCCGAAAAACTGAGAATATTCGACAGAAAAATTATTATCAACGATCCTTGGTAACGAACTAGTGATGCTACAACAGCACATATTTTCTTGCATTATTTCTAAATTTGCAGGTTTCGAAAATTCTGAGATTTCATTAAAAATCAGACCTGCACTATTTTTGCACTACTACTTAAATTGCCCGTTGATAATACGAGGAGAACATTTAAAGCAAAACATTGAAGTCGTTTTTGAGAAAAAAATGTTTAAAGTGTTTTAAATTAAAATATTTCACGCAAAATTATGTGAAATATACTCATATTATAGCATAATTGTACATGACCTTATTTCAAGGTGTTAAAAAAAATCAATTTTGGAGAAAATCGGCTGAACGATTTTGGTGTTAGCTTTTATCGCAAACGGACAGACACATTTTGCCGTCAATTGAGTTTTAGGTATCAGGATCTTGAAAACAAGATTTTTGTCAACACAATGTGTTAGATGAAGTAATATTCTATATTTGGGAACAAGATTTATCCTCCTCTTCGTTACCAGGATCCGGCAATAAGGGTATGTGTGTGGATAATTCGCTGTTTTTGGTGCACGATTACATTACTATCTCTCCTTACGAAAATAGTGTTCCATTTTCTCCCCATGAAGTCTCTTATTAACAATTTAATGTCATTACAAAAAATAATAAACAATATAAAATAAAATAGTTACACGATTTATGCAACAAAATTTACAGGATTGATATAAAATGCTAAGCTATGTATCAAGTCGCAAAGTTTAATTGCAACGATACACTCTTCGACGACCACCGTAAAATACATCAGATTGCACAACGCAAAAGCCACTAGAACCAGGCGCGTATCTACGAGGAGGGAAATGAGATAATTTCCCGACATTTTATAAAATCTGTAATATGACATATTCGACGAAAACATTTTGAATTTCCCCTCCCATAAGTCGCCTCTTATCCGCCCCTGCTAGAACTGATACTGAACAGTCGAGGTAGCGCACGAAATCATATTATTTTAGCGTACGAAATCATATTATTAATGCGATTTCATTTCTCGAGCACACGGCGATTCCGAATATCCCAACATATTGTCGGGGCCATTGAAATCATAGAATATGCTCGTATACGATGTTACAACGTCTCGTTTTCACCAAGCTCTCCTTCCTTCAGGGCACTTGCAGGTATGTGAAAATTCTTTCATTATTATTAAAAATAGTTTAAAATAGTTTACGGTTTATTGCCTATTTCTATGTAAGTGCTTCATTGTCAGAGTCAAAGGTCGCAGAGAGGCAGGGGACTGTCCTGTGAGAGATGCTGGTCGTGATCAGAGCGCATTGGCATGGCTACCCACAGTGTAGATAGCCATGGAATGCAGGTTTCACGTTCAGTTCGGGTTCTAAAACACAGCACTCTCTTTGAGTCTAATGCTCAGTTTTTTAGGCGATATCAACAGGAGGAAGGATCTTAACCAAACCGCAAGGGAACTAAGTTTGAAATGCCGTGGAATTTTCGAAGAATCGACATAAACAAACGTATACTTCCATTTAAATGTAGAGTCCCTTCAAGATCACGAGTTGAAAGGAGAGGGGACACTGTCCTTCATTTGTTACGACTTAAAATGTTGGTATTTAAGCTACCAATAGGATGACAGTAACCCCGTTCCTTCCAGCTCATTGCTGAAGGGACCCTTCGTTTAAATCGGAGTACAAGCAGTTGGAGGAGGTGTCTGCCAGGCCTTGCTGAGCATTCCCGATGGCTCGTCGTGGGCCGTGAGTGTCACTCACGCATTATTGCTCCCCCCTTTTTACAGTTGGGCGCTTTCGAGCCTAATGCTTCGCAATCCGAGACCGGTGAGTCGCCGCTGGCAACGGGTAGAGTTGAGCCAAGGAGCCGCTCCCATCAAGGTCAGAAACCACTCCAGTCCCTCCGTCTTCTACGCGGACATTTTTCCGAGCACTTTCACTCTTTTATTAATATTAGTTGAATTTTGAATAAGCGATAGCAATGAGGGTTGTTAACAAAATTTGATAATCATAAATGTTCGCACCCGCATAATAGAATCTACTTTGGATCGAAAAAAACGAGCTAAAGAATTTATTAAACAGTCCAGTCGACGAAATAAGCAAGCCCCCGTTCCTTGCGCGTTTAGTGAAATGAGGGTACAAGAAAACGTGATCGAATAATACCTCGAAATGCGCCCCTAATGGCTGACGGTGACCTTTCTGAACGTATTGTTTCCGACCACAGCTAATCTCCAAACAGTTAAATTCGGACTGGGTGTTTTGGATGATTCCTTATTCGCAGGAGGAGTCGCATAAAAAAACCCGAGCGTTCGCCGCTCTGCGAGCTGCGCGGAAGAGGATCGCCCCGCCCTCCCCCGTCAGCGGAAGACGTCGCTCCCGAAGGCGGCGGCGGCGGCGGCGGTGGCGCGCGGCAGCGGCGCGTGGTACTCGGGGGGCAGGTGCCACGCCTTGCGCGGAGGGTTGCCGCCGGCGCCGGCGCCGCGGGCGTCGGGCAGCCGCAGGAGGAAGAGCGGGGGCGGCGGCGGCGGCGGCGGCGGCGACGGCGAGCGCCGCTCCTCCTGCTCCGGCGCAGTTCCCGTCGCCGCCACGCGCGCGTGCAGCGTGGTGAGCGCCGCCCGCAGCAGCCGCCAGCAGTAGTACAGCAGCTCGACCCCCGTTAGCAGACTCACGCCCAGGAAGAGGCTGGCGATGCCGCCCAGGGACACTGCGCACGCGAGGACAAGCAATGGGCGTTCCCTTCGCCTTCGAGGTGGAAAGAAATAGGCTCTTTCGCATCGCATCCCTCGTCAGCCAATGAGCTGCAGGCACTAGTTGGCGTCACAATATTAGCGGGAATTTTAAATACTGCCAGATACCGAAATTATCACATAGCTATAAATCATTAAAACAGATACACGGCTTGGTGGAAACCAGAACGGTGTAAGTGACATTTTATAAATTATGAGAAAAACGTGCTTAATTTAGGTTATATTTCAGTGGCAATGTATTTTCGTGGTTTTAATGAACAATTGAAATGCCGCGGTTTTAATGATGAAAAAAAGCACCACGACTTTACAGTAATATTGACTTGAATAAACAGATTTTTCAGAATTGATAAAATGTCACTTACACCGTTCTGGTTTGCACCCATTCAAATGAAG